CAAATAACTCCCCTTATGTACTAATATAGTACGCATTTCACGCTGATCGCAATTGATCCTCGAGTCGCTGAAATATCAATACGTGCCGTGTACATTCCGCGTATATTCGAAATCTCTCCCGTTTCCCGCCCTTTCGGGAGAGCCGGGAAACGCTGGCGGGCAAGTCATCCTTCGTACACGCGTATCATTTATAATTCCGAGCGGATTGAGGCCCCTTCAAGTCGAGAAGCTCGACATTCGAGAGCAAAAGGCGAGAGCCGGCTCGCCTCACCGACGTCGATGATGTTTGTCCTACGGTATATTACAAAGCATAAATTACACGAGCGCCGCTGCGCTTCGAGCCCTCCGGCCCGACCTTCGACTTATCACGCGATTCGCCGCTAATCCGCCTTCGTTGTTTCGACTGACAGACTAATCCTTTTCGTGCCCTACACACCACAGCGTAAAATGCCTCGGTACCGTCCTCCAGCGTTACCTCTCCCTCCCCCCCCCTCCCGCCCCTCTTTCTTCCGCTACACATTTCCCCGTTTATGCTCGACGTCACGAAGAAATCTAACATTGTTTTCCACCGGCGATCGTTGCTAAATCCGAGGGCGGTTTTGCCGCGAGTTATCACGTTCAATTTTTCCCAGATCGCCGAGTTAAAGTTCACCCGTCCGCTCTGACCTAAGACATGATTTCCGTTTACAGCGTCTGCTTCAAAGTTTGTTTATACCACTTAAGAACGGAGCTCTCTTTTTCTTTCAGTACCCTTTCAAGTTACTCACTGTAGTAGAAATTTGATGAAAGAGCAAAATTATGTGTGCCAGTGAGAATTTCGAAGTACATATCTCAATTCGAGGAAAAAGAAATTTCAGAGAAAATTTAAGTAATGCGTTTTTTTTAAATCAATCGGCAGAGAGAGAGAGAGAGAGAGAGGGAGAGTATTGTTATGCGGGCAAAATTAATTCTCTCAGCGCAATACTTTGTCGCAAAAAGAGAGCGTCGCTATTCCAAGTAGTAATAGACAGTTGGAGACAATTCGGGCAGATCGGAGACAGGTAGGCATAGCGTCGGAAGGTTGAACGTCATTGTTACGCGCGCGTTGTGCACGGCGCAAATCCTGGAACATGAGCTGCGAGCGACCGAGAGACCATCCTTTTCGCTTCCAAAACGTCGGGACTATACAAAAAATGCGACAAATATAACGTTAAATATATATACATATATACATATACATATATATATGTATATATATTATTTACTATATAATTAATATACTCTCCGTATGTTTCATCGCCGAATTTTCACACACATACACGCATACGCCACGCACTCTTTCTCTCTTTCATTCTATTTTATTTATATATATGTATGTATATATACGTGTGATTTTGATAGTCTAAAATTCGCTCTACCGATTAACGTAGACGGTATTTTTATATAATTATGGTCTCTTCCTTCCTCCGCGGGTCAACTTTTACGTTAGCTGTGAGCTTAATAAAAAGCTAGGCCGCTTTTAGGCGTTCAGGCTACTGAAAAGGTAATATTACTTCTCTGCTTGTATTCCTTTCAAACTGTGTAGGTGGGTATAATAACATTTTGTTTCCACCTCATATGTAATATAATCGATATCACATTATAACTATTATCTCTATGCCCTTAAAACGTATCCTTTACAAACGCTTTATACAACACGGGCCCTGTAACTCGAATTATAAATCGCTCATTCTGCCATGCCTATGCACGTTCCTGCGTTTCTTTTTTCTCTTTTTTAATTCCCATCGTTCTCTCTCTCTCTCTCTCTCTCTCTCTCTCTCTCTCTCTCTCTCTCTCTCTCTCTCTCTCTCTCTCTCTCTCTCTCAAATCTCACACACATACACACTCGCATGAACTTGTTCATTCTATTACCCGTTTACCTTCACTGTGTACACGCAACAACCGTAACAATAACGTCTTCTAACGGTATTTTAGAGTGTCGTTTAGTGCAATGTCGAAAATTTGAAAGAAGTTGGCGGGAAAAAAATAACTGCTCGGAGAGTATCAAGCTGATGCGAACATCACGGAAAGTGCAGTGTCTAAACGGCTCGACAATTCGTCTGTTTTCTTCTTCCGCTTCGTAAGAGCGTACCAGTAATAATACATCACTTGCGCACGTGCAAATGTCTGCGGTATATTTCGATACTTTCCCTATGCAGAGAAACTGGCGCACGATGGATTCGATCGCGCATCCATAAAGGTGCATCGCAAGCGACACGAGTGTATATATGTATTATATATACATACATATATGTACACGTATGTATATTATGTACATACTCTCGAGCGATCCTTAGAATCTTCGCGCGATGCACCACTTCAAATATACGATTTGTAACAATTTTCTCTATGCACTTAAGAAAGTTATGCTTCTCGCATGTCGCAGATTATAATTATCGTAATAGTAATAATTGTATTTAAGAGAAAACACGCTCGGAATCGGATCTAAATGTCTTACGCGAACGAGATGTTTCCTTGTACTTGTGAATTAATTGTACACCTACCGGTGAAGTAAATGAACTCGCCAAGATTTATGCCGCGCAGCTTTTCGCGGCAGACACGTCGCGATCAATTTCCTAAATAACACTTAAGGATGGAAGCTTAATTGGTCGGAAACGCGCAATCCTTCGAATCATTTTGCTAAATTAACGCTACGCGTCGATGAACGCATTTTCCTTTTGCGCGAGATAATTTTTTAACTCGCTCGCCTCGTCGCCGCGGACCCGCCATTGGCGATTCATCGAAACAAAGGCGGAGAAAATATAAGCGGCAAACGGTTCGGCTGTTTCCCGATCAATGTCTCATACTTTTATTCGCTATTCTATCTTATTCACGTATCAACAGCAACATCCGTTCCGATCGTACACTGAGAATCCGGTGCGACGATCAGCTGTTTCGTTTGAGACGCGATTGCCAATGTTTGAATCACAGGATTAATTAATCTAATAAATCCAGTGTTTCAAGACTTTCGTCAGCTTTTCACGCAATTTCACGAATGTGGAGCATTTCAACGGTCAAATACGCTCTCTTGTTCTAATTTCTGCAAGTAATTAGCGAGCGTTAAATCGAAAAATCAAACGCGCGCAAGAGAAGTAAGATATTTTTTTGTGTCCGCGGCAAAAGTTTCTTTCGCACAATACAATGTATTCTATCATAATATGTTACGACTGTAATCTTCGGGTTAACCCTTTGAAGCATGATGGTAACCCACGTTACCACCTAAACTTCTTTACTTTTTGGCCATTTACTTTCTAGTTAACGTATTTGGGTCGGGTTTTGTGCATTTTTGGGGTATCTTAGCGATAAAAGAACATAAAAGAAAGTTGAGTAGTCTTTAATATTGATTGTAAAAGTTTTATGGACAAACAAGTATGAAAAACCAGCGAATTTTTTCGGAAAAATTCATTATTGACCAAGTTTTTTAAGATTATTTCTTGAAAACTTTGTACAGGGGGGTTTTCGGGGTCGCTCATTACGGATCTGATGTCAGATTTTCAAAATTCAAAATGGCCGACCCAAAATGGCGGATGCAAAGTACGTGAATTTTTTAAGTTTTCAAGTTTTCCAGCATTTTCGTTTGATTACGGTATTTAGGGACTCATCACGTCCGCGCCGTTAGCTCTGGGTAGCGCCAAGAACGAGTAGATTCTAAGAAATGATCAAATTTTGCATCCGCTATTTCGCGCGCGCTACTTTCTATGTTCTATAAGAATTTTCAACTGGAATTTAGATTCCATGGGTTCTAATAATATCTAAATAATGTTGCATAGTTGAATTACCGTTGAATGACGTTATTCTTTTAAGTTTTGAATTCAATCTTGAATCCGCCATTTTGAATTATGGAACTCCGATGACGGATTCGTAATCAGCGATCCCCAAAACCTTTGTATACAAAGTCTCACCAAAAAAATGGTTTAATAGAAAAATGTATGCTTCAAAGGGTTAACGTACGGAAATGTATGTAAAGAAAAAGTATATATACACACGCAACACAATACTCGCCTGAAATGTACACCCGACGTACATGGGCACTCGAGATCCACGAGCGAACGCCGTCTCGTCGTCGAAACGGAACGCCGAACACCGCACCGCATCAGGTTTGAATTCCGTGAGTACAACAGAGTGAGAAGTTATAACGCTATTCTACTAGATATTAGAGGCGAAGAGAATTCCTGCTTTTTTAGAGAAAAATCGGCGAGCGGTCAGGTCACTTGTTCAGGGGATAACGTTATGTATAATACTCGGACGTGAGCGTGCCAAGGAGTCAAACGAGAAGACCTACGGTAACGTTTTGTACACTGGTAACATCGCGTTATGTTTTTTCCTTTAAGTCTAATATTATTGCTATTATAGGTATACTCGGAAAACGTGATGCTTCGATAAATGCGCGAATAAAGCGATATCTGAGAGATGATATCCCATGATTATAATTAGAGGCGTCCTCGCGGACCGTTATCGAATATACGAGATAGCTTTCTGTAAAGTTTTATCATAGTAATTTCAAGTGAATTAACAACGGTACCGCGATCAACTTGCAATTTGCCGTCGCGTTAGAGTACCGCTTGTCGAGTAACGAGAAGTAGGACGAGAAAGAGGGAGGAAACGAGGGGGAGGAGAGAAAAGAAGAAGAGCGGGGGTAAGTCTTTGCAAGTTTGTGCCAAAAAATCCTTCCAAGGATTATATAAAATTATAGTTTGGTCCTTGGCACGATCGGCTAACGCGCTCGCCATGCTTAAATAATAAAGTAGCGGCACTCGAACGGAGTGGCGCGCTCGGTTAATCCTTAACAAGACGAGTATTTCGTTTCAGGTATTTCAAGATTTTTATACAATATGTACACCTCTCGCGACTAGAGCAAAACGCCTCGTAATTCCGCTTCGTGTGCGAAGCCGCAGTGACCCGATGATCGGTGATAGTGGCGGTGTGGTGGTGCTTGCTATTGCCGTTCGTACTGTTCAGGTCACCTTTGCGCGCGCGCAAAATGGTGACTGGCGCGATTTCCTCCTCTCGAAGCGGCGACCGCGGGGAAGAGTTCTCTCGTCGGCCGAGGCTCGCCGACGACGGTGACGATGACGATGACGAGACCCGTAAGTGTGCGTCCGTTTCGCAGACGTATTTTTCCCCCCTCCGGGCAGGAGGGGCAGGGTTTTAATACCTCTGCTGCCGCGGCTGCGCTGTCCTGGCTGCCCTACACCGGGCAGACCAGAATCTCGTACTCGAACATCAGCGAGACGGTGACGAAGACGAAGTAGAGGATGAACATGGTGAAGCCGAGGCTCCTGTTCATTTTCCATCTAAAGCAGGCGATGCTCATGATCACGAACAGCAGCATGCAGAACAGTATTGCTATGCTGCACACCATGCCCACCGAGTTCACCTCCACGGGTTTTCCGTAGATTAAACCGTATATGAGCCATGGAACCGGAAGCCTGCGGGCAGAATCAAAGCGCAAATCGAGCCCGTTTTCACTACCCGACTACTGGCATGCCTATATACACGACTGTACAATTAAACCGCCGCTCTCAGACCGTTTGTCTTCATTTTCCTCGCTCGTTGTTTTCCGGTGCAGAAAAATCAAATGTGTACTTTTCGAGTGCCGAAAATTAATGCGCCGGCGAGAATTCTGTTACGGTCGCAGCAACGTGCACAAAATTAATATCGATCTCGAAAGATTTTTAATTAAGCACTTCGTTATTCGTCATATTGAATTTTTCATAATGCCACTTGGAGATTTCCACAAGTCTAAAATCTAAGAAAGAGAATTAGATCGCAAATAGGATAGCGAGATGTGATCAGATAGAATAAGTTAAGAGAATAGGACAGGATAATATAAGGTGCGGGACGATAAGATAGGATTCTAATATGAGATAGTAGGTTTTCAACGTCCAAATTCAATCCAAATCTTTTCTGCAACGATTACACGATCTAACAATGAATTTTCCACTAAACGGATTTCACTACAAAAGCAATAAATTCATGGTGGGACCAATAGATGATGCTTGTTAATTTAACAGAAAACCCACTATCTCATATTAGGACCCTTAGGACACTATCCCATAATAGGGGACTCTTCTCTACTAATTAAAATTATTTTCATTATATTCTATGTGCCGTAAAAGGAATGTTTTTGTTACCAAGGGGCGCGCTCTTTTCTTTGGCGACAAAATGTCTAGTCCTGGCTCTGATATATGTATATCCCTTTCTAAAAAAGAGGTGTTACCGGCGTGAATGTCGTTAATATCGAAGTTGAGGGGTCTTTTTTTCGGGATCGATTGGTTCTCTCGAAGCGCGGTGTGCTTTACTTCTCTTTTAGATTCGTGTCATGCTTCACCTCGCATGTGAATTCTGACAGTTGGTGAAAAAAAAAACTTGAAAAAGGCTAGAGAACAAACAAAAAGTTAAAGAAAGAGAAGTTAAAGTTAAACATCTAATTGAGAGTGAAGGAGAATGACGCTGACGAAGTAAAAATTAATAAAAAAAGTGAGAGACAGTTTGAAAAAATAATCAGAATGCATTGAAATATCTACCAATTTAGTAGAGAATGGATGAAGATAAAAGGCAATAGAAAAACATAATTGCAATGCATTAATTGTTAATTAAAAAAAAAAGATTTAACCATTAACTAACTTATCAAGAGAATGGAACAACTGAAATACTAAAATGTAAAGATAACGCTAAACGACGCGCGCGTAATGTATCGGTCTAGTA